CCATTCTATGATTCTGTGATTCTATGAATTTCGGGCAATCCCCAGAGCTTGGGCACCTTTACCTGCTGTCCCTTCTGCTCTGGGAGATCTCTCCCAACACTTGAGTTTATCAGTTTGGAAACTTATTTTCAAGTGGAGAGGAGGAGTGTACTGCAACTTTCTGGGTTCCCTGCCTGTCTAGTGGTCTGTGCACTCCCAGAGGGTGCTCAGGGCCTCTTTCCTTGGAGAATAGGATTTTTGAAATTTCCAGTGATCCTGGAATAACTCTTCACACTGGATAACCCTTAGCAGAAAGCAAAATTAATTATGTACTCAAATGCACAATTCAAGAAACAAACTATCTGCAAATGGATAAATGGAAAGAAGCGACTATCGTAGGTCTTGCATATATTCCTAGTTTAATGATAAGATTTCCTCCTCTTTGTCAGTGAAAAAGCTGACAAAATGCTTATATGGTTGAGTCCTCTGACAGGACTCATCTTCAGGTTTGTCATTGCTGAAACTTAATCTGGTTGGGCTTCGCTCTTCTGTTGTCTCTGTTTTCTTCTGGGGTTTTCCATTCAGGCTTAATTCTTTCAAGAGGATTCTTGTATCTATCTGAAGTGGCAGAACAGAGACGTTGATTTCTAAAGATGAGTGGGAAAGAGAGATGGACAGTGCTAGATGTGGGATGGAAGAGTCATGGATTTGTTCCCTCTGTGCAGACAGTTTGCTTCTTGTCTCTAAAGATGAGTGCTCCACCTGACAACTTATTTTGATAAAAATTAGCTTGATCTTTAACTGGATTAGAAACAAGCTTTTGGCCATTGTGAGTGGGCAGTCCTTGCAGTCCAGTGGAAGAGGAGACTGCACTGTGAAGCCTTTTTAATCTGTAGTGCGCAGAGAAATTTAAGTTTTTAAGTTTTATCAAAACAAAGTAAGTAACAGATGGGGTAAAAAAGGTCACGTATGGTTTGAGATTCACTTTCAGATCTGGAGGCAGGATAATATCTCAACCACATGGCAACCTTCAGAATGATGAGTCATTTGTAGCTCACTTTTCTGCCCTGAGAACCAATGAAACATCTCCCATCGACTCAAACAGGAATAGGATTTTGTCCAGAGGGAGCTTAATACCTTTGCTTCTGGAAACATGTTGCTGCTGTTAGCCTGTTTGGGGGCTGGTGCCTTTGCTTAGGGTCTTCAGAGTGGCATATAGAAATTTGGAACTGAAGAAACAGACACTTTGCCATTATCTTATTTTTTAATGAGGGAAGACACTTCAGTGCTTCCTTCTTTGTTGCCGTTCCAAGTATTTATCTGAATGTAGATGTTCACAAATTTTGTAAGACGAGTTGTTTTGAAAAACATGCATGCAGTTTATGCAGGTAATCTGCATGAGAGGAGCAAATACAGGCACTTAAATAAATGGTCATGACTTCTAAATTGTTCAGTGTGTTAGATAGATAGATTTCTAGAGTTTGGACTGCATCCATGCAGTTTATTTTTCTTCTCCATTCATAGTAAGTAGTAGTGATTTAGAATTGCTCAACCTGTTTATGGTCAGTGATGTAAGAAAACAGCACACATCTATGAAGTGTAAGCGCTTTGATGTGCACAAACTATTTGCTTTGATGATAACATTTATAGCTGCTTTTGCAACTGTAGAACACAGGACTGAAAACAATGTGTTGTGCTGAGATGGAGGATCAGGGCTCTGCATTGTAACACTCCTGGACATCCTATTTCCTAAGCTCTCACTGTCCAGAAAGATCATGCTTTCTGTATTGCAGGGCTTGGTGGAGTGTTGTGCCACAGGCTACCAAACAGCCGGTGTCAGATCTGGTCCTCTTGTCTTTGCCCGATGGGATGTGTTGCTCTTGGTGTAACGTGAGACACAGAGAGGCACTAGTTCTGTCGTTCCCATTTCAGTTACTTGTTGCAGAGCAGTGATGGCTTTAGCCTGGAAGAAGAAATCCTTCTCTGCACAGATTTCTGCTCAGCTAAGGCTTGGATTTCAGTGTCTCATCAATATGGGTTAACAGGGGCTTTGGCCGTTTCTGGTGTTGTCAGACATGTCCTGCTCAGGTATCATGTGCTCTTGGCCTTCAGGAGGAGTAAGGGTATATAGCCTGTAATGTATGTAATGCTCAGAGATCTGTCAAGTGAAATGAGCTGCAGCAGTACAGAATGAGGGCTTCCTAGTGCTCTGCTTCCTTGGGACCTTGCTGTCCCACACAGCGTGCCATCCGACTAGGGGACAAGCAAGGCAGGTGAACCTGCTTCCATCATCTTTAGCTTTCAGGAGCTCAGCAATACATAGCTGAAAACATATAGGGAACTCTAGTTTGAGTCCCTGGTGCATGCACTACTAGTTTTGTCTGTCTCATGGTGAATACTGGTTATACAGTATCTATGCCTAGTACCTTCCAGGAACTTGGATTAGCCTAGCTGAAGCTCTGCCATTCTGTTTTTGAGTGGCGAACTCATTGGGTCTTTGTCCTTTTCTCCTTGCAGCTGGGTGGAATTGAAGGCTCGGGGCATCCAGGTTGAAGCACAGTGTTGTAGCCCTCAATATACTTTCACTAATCAAGTTCAGAAAGGAGCATTTTGCACCATAGGATATTGTATCTCTGCTAATGTATCTGTTCTAATCTGCTTTCAGAGGACCTTTCTTCAGTTATGCAATTACATACCATCTTAAATCCAACATTGTGAACTTGCCGTTGAAAAGGAACCTGATAATTAGACAGCAAAGGAAAATCTGAGTTTTACTTTTAGGGCAGTATCTTTCCCTGGCGTATCTTTGACCATTTAGTTCTTGAAGTCGATGACACTTCCCACTTAACATAAATTCTACTAACTATCCAAGACTAAACTAGCATTTCCTTCTTGTGTATTTGGTGCCTTGGAAGTAAATACATAAACCATAAAAGAAAGGCATATGGCACATGCTTATCTGTGTTGAAATACCACGGAGTCCTCTTCTTGAAATACAAAGTCATTGTGTGTGACTGTAAAATGCAGTCAGATGAGCTGCATAATCCGAGTCTGTTGCTCTGAAACCTAGGACTTGTGCCAGATGACTTTGCATTTTCACTTCTGCTTGTTGGTTCAAGGCCTTAAATTTTAATGATTCAGAACAATTTCCTAGTTATCTAAGCCTACTGTTAACAAATAGTCCAAGCGTATTTTTCATTTTTAAAAAAGCCAGAATCCGAGAAGGATGGAGTTGTGGATCAAGTGCTGTGGAAGGGCTGACAAATACAGCTTTTGTTTCCAAACAAAAAGAGCTGGACTAATGGTCACGCTGCTGCTCTGGTTTTGAGACCATTCAGAACAGAGCTGCATAGTGTTTTCTCATGATGCCATAAGCTACAGCCTGGCAAGAGGATGCCCAATAAACATGTGGCAAATGTGCCTTTGCCCCAGTGGTGTGATGCTTCGAGGTGAAGAGGTAGTGGTGAAGGAGTCAGGGAAAGGAAGAGGTGCAAGGGAAGATGGCAGAGGCTGGTCTTCATTAGGCAACAGTCTGTGATGAGATGGGGGAGATAGATAGGTGGGATTGGAGGAGGTCTGGGGCAGAGCAATAGGGCTGATACCAATGTGCTACACAAGCACAGAATGTGCCCATAGAGGCTTTTTCTAGGTATAAAGGAAGAGATGGGAACTGGGAGAATGGAGGTTTTGGGCTGTGACTCCAGTGTGTCAACTATCTTGCCTCTTGCAACATGTCTTATAGGCCTCAGGGTAAAGAGATCTCAGGGATTAATCGGATACTGCTGGTGGCATTTCCAGTTTTGAGGGTCAGAGAGGGAGTTCATAAATCCTCTGACGCCTGTAAAATTTCAAATGAGTGAGTAGTAAAGCCAACTGGTATAAACCAATGTGAGAAGCTTTGGCTGTTCCTTACTAATCAGATGTTTCTTTGTTGTTTCTTTCCACACCTCTAACCAGTGGAAGAGTGCAAAGAGGTGTATGACACAGAAGTAACTGAAGTCAAACAGGCTTTGCAGCAATCTTATACAAACTGGCATTGGTTAAGGCCTACGGAAAAGGCATTGCAGCAGCTTAGAGGAGCTTAGATAAGTTTAAGCTGTGTTCATAGATAGATAATTTCTATTTCTACATAATACAAAATTCAGAGGACTGAAAGAGCTTGGCTGTGAAACCATAAAGCTTTGGGTAGATGAAGACATCCAGAACTTTGACCTGAGAGACCCAGTGGCATTGTCCAGAGATAAATATGAAGGACAGATTCTTGAGCTGTTGAGTTTGAGTGGATGAGACGTCTACAAAAACACACTGGACACGCCTCAGCCTTACATCTCAATTGGAAAGGATAGATCTGGAAAAAAACCCGGATGGTCTGAGGTTATATCTGCTGTGCAGAATGAGGGAAGAAAGGAAGTAGTGAGGACAGAGTTCTGCACAGTTCCTGCAGGCTGCTGAGGGTGGGGGAAAGATCATGTCAAGGGTGCAGCAAGGAGAGCTGGGAGATGACACCCACTAAGGATGAGTTTTTGAGAGAATGAGCTTGCTCAGTTTGGTCAAAAGCAGTTAGCAGTTCAGAAAGAAGAGCAGCACCCATACCCAAGGGTTGTCTTGGCTGCTAGTGTGGGTAAGAGTTCTGGAGAGAAGAAATTCCTGGCGATGACTGTAGACAATCCATTCGGTGAGCATGGTTCAGTGGTGCAGATTGTATGAATTCAGTGGAAGTGCTGGGCAGATTAGCAGCCCCCAGCAGTCCCCAGCAATTCCAGGAGATCAGAAGGAATCCCCTGGATTCCTCTGGCCTGTGAGGTCAGTCCTCTGCGGTGGAGAGGCCACAGCTACGATAGAGCAGTATGGAGTTGATGCTCGTTCCTTGCTGGTGAGAAAGAGCTACCTCTAGTGGGATGTACGGTATAATTACAGTCAACTCTGCTTTGCTAACTAGATTTCCGAAACAGTCTCATTACTGGTTAGCACATCCCTGCAGGATTTCCATTTCAGTTTTAAGGGTGAGCCTTTCTTGAAGTTTTCTTTCTTGAGGACTTTATCTAGAGACTGAAGTAGCAATTTTGGCCAAATTCAATTATATTGCTACTGATGAGAAATGGTTAAAGTATGAATTTATAAGAAGTGTTGCAAGAGAAAGCTGACCTTTAAATACAGCATTCTCTGTTTTCTGTGGCTATTTAGTGCTTTTCATGGCTTTGTCTTACTGTGTGTCCCAAATTTCTGATGTGACTCCTATGTAGAGAACATGCATGTCCAGAATGGTGGTTCATATTATGGTCTCCCGTTGCTCATGCAGTTCCTTTAAGAAGTCAGGTTTTATTTATGTGCTAATATGTTGTATGCGTTCCTAGTATTAATAATAACATAGGATTTTGCTTTAATGGTTGGTCATATTAAAGGCAACTTTCCTGGATAAAATGTTCAATAACATCAAATTATTTATTTTATGCATACAAAACTTCAATCTCTCTTGATTAATGCAGATGCAAGTTAATGTGTTAATATTGGGTCCAGATTCTCATCTTGTTAACTATCTACAAATGTAAGTGGAGCTGTTCCGTTTGCACTGATTAATGACTTCAGTCCAAGTTTCCCCTAAAATTCTCCATTGGCTTTTTCAATGAATGTGTGTGTGCGTGACTGTAACTTTTTAAGATGCCTTTAATCTGTTTCAGATTTGTTCACCACAACTAATTTAAAATTATGTAGGAACTGATGCTGGATTTGAGTGAAGTGTGCTTACTGTCAAAAGTTGAATGTAGTGAATTAGAGGTTAGCCAAATTTGCAGTACATCTTGTTAACTGCTTGTCTAACTAGATCTTACATCACGTCTCTGTAAGGGTAATGTTATGTATGAATGTACACCTTGCATGTAATGTCACAGTAGATAGGAATTGGCTTTTTTCCAGCAGCTGGAGGGAGTTAGAGATTAAATCTCATGGTGAAAAACTTCTACTCATTGATGACTGGAAGAAAGGTGGAGAAAGACTTCAAGCTGTTGTATTTTGTACCCGCTTCAGCCTTTTTCCTAAGCAATGGGGACTGCGTAAGGACTGACTTCTCAGCGCTGCATTAACACCAGACCATTCTGATGCCATGTGTTGGTTTCCATTTAGGTGTTATCTCAAAATATTTAAATACCCTTAAATATTACAACCATAGTTGCATCTTTTACAGTTTCTGTATGTCAGGCACTCTGAACAGACGTGTGTCTTTGCAGGCAGATGCAGCGCTGTGAAGGGTCTATTCATTAACCTCCTGACAGCTAATGGGGAGCAGGAGAGATTTTGCTGGTGTTCGGAGCATTTTAGCTGCCATGAACAGTGGGGGACAGAGTTATGTGACACTGTCCTCTTCTTCCAGTCAGCCTCTCTGATAGCTGCTTCGGTTGCCTTTGCTATTTTTCATTCCCCAGGTTAATGTTGCCTCTCTGTATTTCAACTCCAGCAGTGCAGCTCTGAATATGCAGTGAAAATGTTATCAGGATTGTGATACCTTTATCCTGCTTTTTTTTTTTTTTCTTTTTTGGCAAAGCTCTAAGCAGTAGCGAGGTTACTGGAGCTGTCTGAAAAGAGATGTTTGCTTCCTTGCATGTCCCTGATAACCACAGAAGTGGGTTTTAATAAAAGCATTTAAATAAAATTATAAGGAATTTAATAGGCTTATAGGGAATTTAATAGACTTATAGGGAATGATAGTGACTGACTGACTTATTTTATATACAGGTGGAGGCTAATCTGAATTTTTTTCTCCCTTCAGTTTTTTTTTACATCCTTCTGCTTGTTGCTATCCTGCTGTATCTACCATGTTTGTTCTGGCGCTTCACCGCAGCACCTCACCTTTCTTCAGATCTGAAATTTATTATGGAAGAACTTGACAAAGCCTATAACAGGGCAATCAAAGCTGCTAATAGCATCCGCAGCGGAGACCCCAGGGATCCTGCTGACTTGGTTCCAGCTGTTAATGAGAACTTGACGCAGAGGTAAGATGCTGAGGCTTGGTTTTCTTTGCTCTTTTCTTTAAGCTCTTAACAGATGTGACACCTGCAGTCTCTTAGAAATGCATTGCAAATGTTTGCACGGTAAGCTCACACACTTTTAAATTTGGTTTAAAAAAAAGAAGACATCTGAAATCATTGCCATGGGCACTTGGAGCTGGAACTTAAAACTTTCTTTTTTTGAAGAAAACATTTGATGAGCTCTTATTACCTGAGATGTCCTGATTTCTTTATTTGTAGTAGGTGTTAATTAGTTTTACCCACCACAGCATAAGAAAACAAGGACTGCTGCAGTTCTCGGTTCTCAATGGCTTGACAGTCTCTTACACACTGTGAGCAGCATCTGTTACTTGTCATCCCCTGTCCTTTAAGATCTAGATCTCAAAGCTTCTGTTTAAAGAAAAAAAATATCCCCAAACCCCAAACACTAAAACCAACAAAAGCACAAAAACCCCTTTCTGATTGAATTGGTTATCTGTTCTAACCCGGCCCAGTTTCTGCTTCATCCTAGGTCAGGGTACCTGTTTGTCTTTGCATGTGGGGGTACAAGCAATGCAATGGGGACGTACGTCCGTTCTTTAAAATGTGGAGTTAGGTCTTGACAAGTAAAAAGCCTTCCAGTGTGCTATTACTGAAAAAGTACTTGGAAAGTCTGCTTTTTCTTGTGGATTTGCTTACTATACCTGTTTTTATTGGAAAAGAGCACAAATATTTTTTTGCCACGAGGGCAATACTTTTTTTCCATTTTCCAATGTTTGACCTCTTTTGTCTCTGAAGTGGCTTTTCTGTATTAGAGTGTCGATATTCTTAATTTATCTGCTATTCTGTGCTTTTTCTATTGATTTTGATAGAACTACCCTTGATTTACCCCAGTAAGAGGGAATCCAATCTTGTGTCTATTTTAGAGTACTAGGTTTCTTTGAAAATTTAGGTAGGTGAATGCTGCAGCATCTGATCTATGTCATCTGTTTTTTTTTCCTCTCTCTTTCAGTTTATGGGAAATATCTGAAAGCCACTTTAAATACCCAATTGTGGAGCAGTACCTGAAGACGAAGAAGAATTCCAAATGCTTAATAATTAAATACATTATCTGCCGTTTACTCACTCTAGTAATTATTTTCATTGCATGCCTCTACCTGGGCTACTACATTAGCCTCTCCTCTTTGAGTGATGAGTTTCTTTGCACTATCAAAACTGGGATCTTAAAGAATGACACAACTGTTCCAGAAGTGGTTCAGTGCAAGCTTATTGCTGTTGGTGTCTTCAAGGTACTCAGCTATATTAACCTGCTAGTCTATCTTCTAGTGATGCCGCTGGTAGTGTATGCAATGTTTGTTCCGTGGAGGTGGAATTCAGGTATTCTCAAAGTGTATGAAATCCTGCCAACTTTCGATGTTCTGAAACTCAAGTCAAAGTGTTTTGATGACTTAAGCCTTTACCTCCTCTTTCTTGAGGAAAACGTGAGTGAACTTAAATCATTTAAATGCCTCAAAGTGCTGGAGAACATTGCAGTTTCTGAGAAGTTTGATGTTATGCAACTTTTGGTAAACCTTGGTACTATTAAGACAGATACCGTGGATGGGAAGCCAGGGACAGCTGTGTTGGCGAAGCCTGAAGAAACAACTACAGAAGAGCTGGGAAAAAATGCAACAGAGCTACAAGGTAAGGTGACCTGATCTCTCTTTAAAAAGAAAAATCAAAGAAAAAAACACCACAAACCCACCACATCCAAACCTGCTGGTACAGAGAGATAAAGAATCTATTAAACCAAAGCTTCATCCATGCAAAACAAAGCAGGTTTCTTCTAGGTGTGTACTCCTACCAAAAACATTTTAATATATTCTACAAGAAAATGGACCTGCTTAGACCTTGCTATGTTGTCAGCAGTATAACTGCTATAACTTCACATATGTGCCAGAAGATTGTGATGTTGTAAGTCAGTGGCACAGGCTAGATGCCAAAGCGTCTCTTACGTTGATGGTCCTTGCTGACATGTCTCTAGCAGAGAGGCTTCAGCTGTCTGAACTTGAACTCCCTAAGACCACCTGCACAGTAGAAGTACACTAGATTCATCTACAGTAGGTTGCTTGAAGAAGCTCCAGTGAGAAAGCTGGTGATTTCAGGATTTTTTTTTTTCTTTTCAGAGGTTAGGTCAAAAGAGTAATAACTGCTGCTTCTGCTTTTCATTCAGGCTTTGACAGAAATCTTAGATTAATGTAAAAATAAGTCTTATGCTCAGAAATGCCACTGACAAGGGAACAGAAAATGACAAAAGAAGGGAAGTGGGACTGAGGCCAGTGAACATGCTCCTGTTCCTTCTTATGCAGAGAGAAGGATCGACTGTAAAGTGATTTTTGCCAAAATGGCTTGAGTTGGTCTGCATTAGTGAAGCTGTTCTCTGAATATTCCCAACTATTCCCAGACATGACCAGCTCTGAGCAATTGCTCTTATGTGAGATGTAGTCTTAGATTCTGTGCTAAAAAATGTGGCATATCTTAAATGTGATTCCAATTCCCTCCTCAACTGCAGAATTAAAGAAGACAACCCAAATACCCAGGGAGAGGCATAAAGGAATGGAAGAGCTTTCTTCCCATTTGATGTGAGCATGGCTGCTGTTGTAGCTGTCCCCGCAAAAGCAGCAGGACACCAGTGCCTACATCCCCTAAATAAAGGAGTTGAGACTCTGTGGGCTAGTGCTTCACAAAGTCCTTCACTCATGGAAGTGAAGATGCTTTCAAACATTTAGCAGCTGACCTGACAAGGCAAGCACAATGCTGAGGGCAAGAACTGTTTCAAAGGCAGGAAAAAAATTAAATCTACTTTCTCTTCAGAAAGCTATTCCCTGTGCTTAATCAAAAAGAAGCAGCAGCATCCAGAGGGTAGGTGTTCCTCTGTACTTTGGTCAAGCAGTTCTGGCAGGTTGAGGCTTGGAGGAGAAGTCAACTTATACAACAGGGGACTTCAGAACAAACAAGCAGAATTATTTTCAAACTAGAAGCAGCACTTCTGGCAGCCAGCTCTAGTACAGCAGTTTGGAGTAATTCTGACAGAAAAATAGTTTTCCTCTTAAATGTGTCTCTTTTTGAAATTACATGTAGGTGGGTTTTGGTAGGAGAATTTAAGAGTTCAAGGTCTCTGTCAAGGAGCTGAAAAAGCTAGTAGAAAATCTGCCTCATTTTTATATGAAAGCAGAACTTTCAAGACTGTTTTCATCTCACAAAAACACTTCAAGGTCTTGTTTTCCTCCAGAGCAGCACAAACTCACGTTTGAAACTGTTAAAATGCCTTGCAGAAAGCAGCTGCCATTTCACGACCAGCTCCGGCTGGTGCAAACCCTCTCCTTCTGCGTGGGTGCAGCTGCAGGCTGCACTGTCTGTCAGCAAAGCTTCACCCGTGACTCATTGTCTTTTTTCTATCGCTAGTGGCATCGGCATATTTTAATAAGTAACCGTGTTTAACAAACCAGTGGTAGATGCTCACCCAGCAGCTCCGGCACGGCGCAGGACAGCCAACCCCGTGGCGCTCTCTTGGTGGCAGTTCCTTTGTAAACGAGAATGTGTTGGGTGGTTTGATGGCCCTTTCAATTCTAAAGGCTTAATTTTTCTTTAGTTTTGACAGATCATGATGCAAGTGGCAACGTGAGTCCAAGAGAAGATAAAAAACTTCGCCAAAGACTGATCGATTCTACATGCTGATGCCTCCTGGCCGCAGCAGGCAGGAGCTTTGTACTGCAGGAGGGCTTCTGCTCCGCCTTCACTGCGCTCAACACAAGGTGCTGCTTTTTGAATGCAACCATCTTGATAGCCTACAATTCCTGGTTTACAGACTACTCGTTGTATAATAATCAGCAATCATGTACTTGAAAAAGCATGTTGTAGACTTTCATTATTTATTAAAAAAAAAACCAACCCCAACACACAACGAACAACAAGAACAAAAAATTTCTATCATGAGTAACAAGTGTCCTGCATTGAATGCAATCAAAGCTGGCAGCAGGGAAGAGCTGGCACTACACTGTACAGGGATGGGAAACATAACCCTGGAGATAGCAAAAAGAGATGGCCGCATTGTGTTCTGAAATGTTGCTCTGCTGGGAGCAACCATCTCAGTTCTGGGGTTTAAGTGACGCGTTTTGGGCCTCTCTGCCTAGAAAAGGGTTTTTTTTGTTTTAATGAATCTGGTTAATCTGTACCAGGTGGTGACTGGCCACTGGTATTGGTTGTGTCTTCACAGGAAAAGTAGAGGTTGCTCTGTTTGACCTGAGATGTCTTGGTTAGCCGTCTCAACGGTGCTGTCTGGGATTAATTTACTCAGCACTGATGGAAGAGAAACTACAAACAGGCTTAGTATAAGGGGGTACTGTAAATGTTAGCAAATCTGAATTTTCTACATATTCATAAATTAAAAATAATGTCTTAACACTTTTTTTTTACAAAATGTAATAATATGTGAGCTAAATGTTAGTTTAATTTTTGTTTCTCAGTTTTGGTCTTAGTTACTAACAAATCCGCCCTGGAGTTTGGACTGAAGATCAGTGAAGTTGGTTCCATTTTTGTAATGGTTTGTAGAAGTTGTTTTGTAATGTTTGTATGTGTGGAATTTGTTTCAACATGTTTGTAGTATCAAATGCAATATTAGTTGTGCTGTCTTCCAAAACCCACTTGAGAAGACAGTCTTATTTGTGTTACAGTAGCGCCTGAGTGCCTCAGCAGAGCCAAGCACCTGGTAGCTGAAGTGAGGTAGATGTAAATATGATGAAAGGTTGTTCTCCCTGCACACTCTGTGACTTAATTTTAATTAAAGGTAAGATGCTGAAGTGGGTTGGAACAGACAAAAACGGGGAGTGTTTGGAAATTGGAAAACTGCCCTGGTTTGTTGTACTGTTTGGGGAGAGTATCATTCAGCTTTAATATCGTCCCCCCCGCCCAGGACCTCTACCTTCAATGAACATTAAAATGACCTTTGTCTTGAATTTTAGATACAAGGTGAGGTGGGTGGGGGTTTAATCACCACAGTGGCAGCATATATCTTTCACAGATGATACGTGCTCACTTGTTTTCCTGTATGGTCCATGTAACTGAAATGTCTTGCCTGTCACCTCTTCCAAGTTGTCTTTTTAGACAAAGTGGTACCTCTTTTATAGCTAGGTAGGACTTCCATTTTTTCAGTTCATCTGTGTCACCAGCTGTGGTGTTCTCGACTGTTAACGTTCTCCATGTGGCTGAGGATGAGGGGGGAAAAGTAATCAGCGTTACCACCTTTGCACAGAACTGTTTATATGCTGCAGCAGATTTCAAGGAGATAGTGCACCTACTTGAAGTTGGCAGCTGTTGTTGAACGAGTGGATTCCTCAGTGCTGCCATACTGTACTTTGTGCTAGTATTGCAAGAACTCTTTGGTTATTACATGGCTTTTGGCTAAGAAGCCTTATTGAAAAGAAAGTTGTTAAAGCCAAAGTATTTTGCTACCTCTACATAGGACAGTAGCATGGCTGCAATCCTAATGTCTGTTGCATTACCAGCAAGAAACAGGGCTTGTGTTGGATACTGGTGATCCAAGCTGCTCAATTTTACTGCCACACTTCTCCCAGCAAACCCCCAACCCCTCTAACATGTTCTAGATTGTTTCTGTCTGGCTGTGCCGATGTGTTGCTGGTAGTCCTTTAGATGTGGGTAATGCAGATGCACATTGTGCAGTGTGTGTTTTGAACAAGGAGCAATAGTGCAATACTAAAATGTTGTGATGTGGATGTGTTTGAACTGTGTAATGTGTAAGTAGAGTTCTTGGTCTTTAAAACTGAAAGCTCCTGAAAGCAACATGTCCATGTTTCATGTTGGATATGAACCTAACTTTTACTAATTCCCCTTTTGTATTTAAAAATATGACTTGCTGCAGTAAATCTCTTGTTGTCTTCTAAAGTGCTCAATAAAACATGTATCAGTTGTTCTTGGTTATTTAAATAAAATCAATTTTGTGAACTACAGCAGCATGACCGAAGGTTCCAGGAACAGTCACATGTTGCCGTCTGAAAACCCATAGTGCAATACATGTGGTCTGATGCTAAACCACAAGCAAACTTTTTGGCCAGTAGCTATAATTGTGTTCTTTTAATTTTTGTTCTCATAAAATTGTCAGTGCAACATGAATAGGTTCAAAATCTATTTAACCTTTTAAAACTATTGAGAAAACATCAGCATGTGATAAATAACATATCTAATGTGAGTTACTATCAAAAATTGACCACAGTCTCAGCATGTTTGAGCTTTTCAGCTGTATCTTGCTGGTTTAAGATGTGTTTCTGCAGCTGCCCAGCTCAGTTCTACTTCTGTTTTAGTGGCACTGCTCCTGCTGTATTTTACCATTTTCAGAAGATGAGCTAAATTCCAACTTAGATCTTAAGGAAAAAGAGTCCATCTTCAGCCTCTTCCTCATTTTTTTTCTACATCCATCTGTCTTTTTTTGAATACCCCAGAAAGTAAAATGGCAATGTTGAGATTCAGGTTTGGTCCATGCCATCCTTTGTCTGACCCCACTGTCTCCATCACTTGGATATTAATAGTCCTCCCAATGCAGGAGACTCACAACTAGCTCCTCTGCATGCTCTTTGCATGATAACATTGTTCAATGGCTCTTAGCTTTGCTACCTTGTGAGATTTAAAAC